GGAGTTCAAATTATTTTTACTTCCAATATTGTTAACATACTACACAGGTCATGACTAGATTTATTTTTTTTAAATTTTCACATTAAAATGTTTTTTTTTTAAATTGGAGTCAGCACACCCATCATGATGACCTTTTACTACGCCTTCCTGGAAAGCATCATGACCTTCTCCATCACCTGCTGGTCCCACTCCCTCAGCCTTCATACAGGAACAGACTGCAGCATCAGTGTGCTCTAAAATCATTGGGCTGCCTGTCAGAACTCTGGCTCAGGTTTTCATCAACAGGCCCTTAGACAGGCAGCCAAAATCATCAACGACTCCTCTCACATTCTTCACCCTGCATTTCAACGGCTCCCCTCTGGGCGACACCTCCGCTGCATTTCCTGCAGGACTGAGAGGAGGAGGAGCCCCACCTTTGTCCCCAAAGCCACTCTGCTTTTTAACTCCAGCTGATAAGAACATTTCCCACACCAGAAACATAAACTACGCTCTTATACTACCAACACTTTACTCACTTTTAGTCACTTACAGTTATTTATTCACCTTTCAGTCACTTTAATTTTAAAACTATGTAATTTTATAACTGTATATACTGTGTATTTATTATCTCACTCTTATTGTGCTTATCTTCAACGTCATGCTGCCCTGGTGTTGGTTAATTGCCCCTTGGGGATAAATCAAGTCTCTCTGATTCTGATTCTGATCTTGTTTTTTTATATATTGGTAGTTTGATAGGTTTTGTATTTGTTTTCTTTTACATCATATTAAAATGTATAAATACATAGATTTAAATATATTTGTGTATTCATGTCTGGATTGTGTTTGGTTTTATTTTATTTATTTCTGCAGTGGTTGTTGTGTATTACTATTTAGATTGTTTCATGTTTAATGTTTGTATGGAAGACACAGAAAGACATTCGGCTAAAGAAATCTGTGCTAGAGTGACTTTAAAAATAAGTAAACAGAATGTAAATAATGATGTTTAGTATTTGAGATGGAAGCTGTTTCTACAGGATCCTGATGGACACTCAAAGGTTTATAAAATGTTCTCATTAGTTGTTTACAGCAGAATATCAACCGATGTGAACCAAAACAACAAAAGTGTGTGAGACTACAAATTCTAGAATCAGAACTGCTGATTTCATTACTCTGAACTTTTAAAGGCAGGTTTTGTATCTGAGAGCAGGGACACTTGCTGTGTTCAGTGTGACTTGTCTCTGCAGAAGGTCAGGGCTCTGATAGTTGCAGTTAGCGGGTGACTTACTGGGCAGGTGGATCCTGAGTGTCTGTGGGAGTCAGGGTTCATTATGGTCCTGGTTGCTACTGGAAATAAAGAAACAAAGGGAGTGTGTGTTGTTCAGGAAGTACAGACTGTAGCTCAGCAGGTAGAATTACTAACTGGAAGGTTGGAGGTTTGATCCCTGGCTGCTCCAGTCTGCACGCCACGGTATCCTTGGGCAAGATGTGGAACCCCGACTTCCTCTCCGATGCATCCATCATAGTGTCATTGTTAGAAAAAGAAGTGCTTGTGTGAATGAAGCACGCTGTATAAAATGCTTTGACTGCTCATACAGAAAAGCAGCTCATAAGAACTGGTTCATTTTCCAGATAATTCCACTATTAAGACAACAGACATTTGGGAGGCTTTCTCTGAGAGTAACACTGAAAGTCTTGCTGCTCCTCCACAAAATGAACTTCAGATTAAAGACACAGCTCAGCTAAACACAACTCAAACTAATCTACACTATTTTTCTTTATTACGCAGCGTTTTTATAACTATTTCCAGATGTTTCTAAAGATGAAACAGAATTAAACTCCAGCCTGATGCGTTTCTGAGGTTCCTGACTCTGACCGTCCCTCAAACGCCTCTCTGGGCGTTTCCTTCCGTCGCTTTTACTTTCGCTTTCGTGAATGTTGTGGCGCAGTTGATCGTCTCGAAGTTAAGGTAACGTTAGCAGTCTGTACTGTTTTCCTGGCTGACATCAGCTGTGTGCAGCTTAGTTTCAGCATAAATCTGCTTCGTTTTATGTGAGATCAGAGTCTGGGAACGAGACAGAAACAGTTGATGATCAGCAGCTGAACTCGATGTTACTGTGGATCCACTGACTGATGTCTGTAGGCAGCTTCTCCTGCCTCCATCAGTGTTACGGAAGCCCGTTTTCGCCACAAAAAAGGATCCATTCTCGAAATTTCGACTTATTAACTCGAAATGTTGAGAAAAGTAGCTCGAAATGTGGAGTTAGTTCTGCCAATCAGTAATCTACGTACAATGCGCACTCAAAACCGCATCGCAACAAATCGGCTTTCGAGAGTACGTTTGCTGATATTAACGCCATGTGATTCAGCTAATAACAGAAGGATTTCATCATTTCTGAAACCACACAGACAATAATCAGCAATTTGTGCATTTATGACTGGCTGTAATTCTGGTGTCTTAGCTGTAGCATTTGTAGCTGAGGGCTTCAGCTTCCGGGTAACAAGGAAATTACGTCATTCACGTAAATTACTGATTGACAGTTAGTTTTCTCAAAATTCCAAGTTAATAAATCGAAATTACGAAAGAGTTGCTTTTCAGAAGTCGCTCCCAACACTTCATCTATAAAATGCATTTCTCTGCTCGTTCGCTATAGTCTGCTGTCGTATTTGTGTGCAGGATTTTTCCTTTTTCAGTTTAACCGGTGATATTTATTCGTGTATTGTAGGTGAATGCGTTGATGATTGATCATAAATTAGTAAACTGGCCGTTTTTGCTCAATGATTCCTGTTTCATGTTCAAACCATCAGACAGAAACTCTGCATTTGTTTTATGTTCTTCAGCCTGTTGTTCTTGAGGTAATCTGTGATGCATTCAATGACCCTCCACATGCTCTGAGGGTCATTTGAAGAGAAACAGAACTTCATCTTTAGAGCATAAGTGGGTTTTTGCCCTCTTTATGCCCGCGGTCAGGCTCTGTTTATTGTAGTATAACACTCATAGGACACGGTGTCCCGCTGCACACACACTGCACACACACTGCACACACACTGCACACACACTGCACACACACTGCACACACACTGCACACACACTGCACACACACTGCACACAATGACAGCTGCAGAGTTTGTGTCTGATGTATTAAGTATGAAACACTGTTGGGCTAAAATCTGGTCAGAATGAATCCAGGTGCAGGTGTGTCAGTTTAGGACCACTGGACTAACATCCAAGTGCTCACAATATAAAGTGTATTCTGTAGTAACATCCTGGTGTTGCAGCAACAGTCCCACATGGAAACGTCAACACTCAAACTCAAAGTCTCTTTTTGTCAACAATAAAATGACAGCAGACCAATTTGATCAAAGTTGGTAAAAAGCTTCAGAAATTAGTAAATTATTAAATTAGTTAAATTAATTAAATTAAATTAAATTAAATTAAATTATTAAATTAGTAAAATATTAAAAAGTGTCTGGATGCTCAATCATCCAGGTAAGGGTTAGGTTAGTAATGCTGTGATTGCAGACATTCCCCAACTCTCTGTGAATGGGACTCATGGCCATTGATCAGTGGTTGTTGATCAATGGTCATGACTTCCCAGCCATTGTGCAAATGTCCTGTTTATAAGGTTGGAAACCTGCAGTCAGCTGAGACTGAAGGAGTCACCTGGATGAGTCATGAAACGTTTCTCCCACTGAAAACATCCAGATGAACAGAATCAACTTTTGGGGATTAAAACGTGTCTGAATTAATCATCATGAGTGGGTCAGTCAGTGTGTCGCTGGGCTGATTTGTGTTTCCTCTGCAGGTGAAGGTAGAAAGTGTGTGTGAGCTGATGTGAATTGAGCAGCATGGATCAGTGTGAGGACAGAGAGGAGGGAGTCCCTCCCTCTAAAAGCACTCTGTGTGGGGAACATGAGAGCCAGACCAAAGCTCAGAGGTGAGATGACCATCTCTAACTGTCCATGACTCTTCTCCATGTCACAGCTCAGCACTCACATCACTGCTCCATCATTATTCACAGGAACCAGCCTGGACCTCCACCCAGCTCTGTGTCCTGTAAGAGTGACGTGTCTAAAGAGAGGTGAGCTGTTAGTAATGGCCTGCATTTGTATAGCGCTTTTCTAGTCCATAGGACCCCAAAGCGCTTCACACTACATTCAGTCATTCACCCATTCACACACACATTCACACACTGGCGATAGCAAGCTACATTGTAGCCACAGCTGCCCTGGGGCGCACTGACAGAGGCGAGGCTGCCGGACACAGGCGCCTCGACCAGGTAACATGAACTCTCTGATTTAAATGATTTTGATGTTTCCTGGTTTCTAAAATGCATCTCTGTAGCAGAGCAGTGTCTCCAAGGACACACAGGCTCAGCTGTAACTGTCAGTTTATCTGGTTTTAAGACACATTTGGACACAATTGGCTGTTTTTAACTATGTATTTTAATCAGAGGTGTAAATTTAGACCTCACACATCTGGATCCTAAACTATGATAGAAACAGCTGCTAGCAGTGGGTAGTTTGACTTTGATACGCTGCTCTAGAAAGCAAACAAAGGTTTGTGCAGCTCCTCTTCAGAAAAGTGTTCAGAGAGCAGCTGCTGTATTAGACAAAGGCTCGTCGTGTGAGCCCAGATGTGTGTAACAGCTGGATGAAGGAGAACCATCACAGTCACGTCTCCATCCCGCCTTTATTAATGAACTTCCTGTTGCTTGCAGATGACAGGAACACAAAGTGTTTGTGCCACGTGATGCTGCAGGATTTGTTAACGTGTCCATGATGGTAACATCTCCTCGTCTAACTGCAAACACATGAGCGCTCCTAACGGCAGCTATCACAGCCACACAGGCAGACTGTGTCTCACTGTTGCATTCAGGGACATTTGTTTTCCTGTAAAAAGCTGAACTCTAATCTAAGAGGACTGTTACTGACAGGAAACAGCTGCATTATCTGCAGTCTGTGTGATCACAGCTGCTTCAATCACTTCATCAGAGAATTGATCATTGAATAAAACATGTTTGTGTCTGCAGAGGTCAGAGGTCACAGTCTGCAGGATCCAGCTGTCCGTCTGTCAGGAGTGACTGGTCCATGCCTCACCCTCCAGAGTTCAGTGATGAACCTGGACCAACGAGGTCAGAGAACTGTGATGACTCCTTTACATGTTTGTGTTTTCCTGGATAAATATGACCAAAGATTCATTAAAAAGATAAAAATCTTAGACTTTGTCCTGTAGCGCTGTGTGGCAGGCAGGATTGGCCCCAAACACAACAGGATGAAGTCAAAGAGGCAGCTTTATTTCAGCTGTGAACATGCAAACAGCAGAAATAAGGAAACATAACTGTAGGTTTGCAGTGAATGAAGCCTCAGCTCAACGCTGCACTTTGTCCCTCTTTTCCTTCTCCAAACAGCCACATCAGGAGTCTCTGATGGAGTTTTAAAATATTTAACTACAAATGTCCAAAGATGGGTTCAGGATACCTGAATCCACAGTTATTAAAGCTCAAATAGTTCACAGGGTTTGGACTTTGTTAGGTGACGAGAGAACATCAAAGTGTTTTTTATCTTTAAACAGTATTTTTATCACTTCAGTTGCTCTCACAGCCCTGTTTGTTATTTTACCAGAGCTCTTATGTTTCACTCAGTGCTCCCACCAAACACCTTGGAGGACACATTAGTGTGATTTAGATTTCATTGGTGTAAGCACCAGTCACACAAGCTAACCCATGGAGGCAGCAGCAGGCTTTGTGTTTGGTAAAGTCTGTTGGCTTAAACTAAGAGAGTTTAGTTTGTTAGCACAAAGAGCTGTCAGCTAAAGCCCCGAATGCACTTTGAATACAGACGAACTGAGAAAAACACTTTAAATACAGCAAACAGTCAAACTGACCACATGTTTTTCTGCTGATCATCCACAGCAGTACATTTAGCATTCATGCTAGCAGCAGGCTATGACTGTCCACTCAGCACCAACACAGGTAGGAGTGAGCAGTGATGAAGCAGGACTGTGGGCAAGTTTGAGCTACAATCCTATTGGCTTCTCAGTTTCTCCAAAGAAAAGGGGAAAAATTCTTGGTGTTGTGAAGATGTGAGTTGGTCTTGTTGCAGACATTTTGTAGCACAAAATGTTCAAGCTGAATGAACATACGCGCTCCTTAGACGTGACTGTAGACGCGCCAAAAGGAGATGGAAAAAGGACAGATTGTATGTTTCTCTACAGATTTTAAAGACTTTCTGTCTTTCTGCTCACCAAGAAGCTGTAAAAACTGCAGACACAGTTAGTCTTAAACTTAGTGTCAGTAAACAGTCACAGGCCTCAGGTACTTTTTAATGTCCTCAATCGTTTTCTTCGTTCACGTGATAATGTCAGAGTCATTTCTTCACCAAGTATTTGTGATGATTTTTAGCATTTTTAACAACAACCTTCTATCTATTAGGGCTCTTGTCTCGCCGACTGCTGCCTCAGATCCGAGTCTTTCTTCTGTGTGCTCAGCTGTCTTAGAGCAGTTTGATCCTGTTTCCCTTAATGACTTGACTGCGGTAGTTTGTAACCTAAGATCATCACACTGCCCCTCTGATTGTCTCCCCCAACTACTCTTTCAAGGATTGTCAGGTTGGAGATTGGCCTATAATTAGCTAAGACAGCTGGGTCTAGGGATGCTTTTTAAGTAAAGGTTTAACTACAGCCAGCTAGGGATGGGTACCGTTTAGATTTGAAAACCTGCTAAATCAGAATCAGTTGCTGATGATGGCTTTTTTCTTTTCCATTAATCACGTATAATCTTAACTCAAAGTGAACATAGACTTGATTGAAGTAACTCAGATCAGCCAATTCAAAATGCTAATTCAATCAACTCTGAGTTCATGGCTAGACTCAGTTTGTTGGCCCTGCACCTTAAAACTATTTCCTGTTTGTCTCTCGTGTTTTTTGGATATTGTTTTCACATCTTATGTCACGGCTAGCGGGGCGAGCCATGTTGAATTTAATAAAGGACCCAAGATGCAGACACTGCTGTGAAGTGAGTGAGCTTTATTGAAACGGTGAAGTGCAGTGGAGATGGCCTGTGCAGAAGCTAAGATAACCTCTACTGAAAAAAGTATTGATCATTGATCAATTATTGAAGCAAAAGTAGACACACTAACGTAGGACATGGCACTGTCAAAATAAAACAGGAAGTGAACAGAGACACAATACTAACACAGTACAGAGGGAACACAGAAACCAAAACCTCAGAACTAGAAATCTTAATCAGAATGAAATTGTAAAAAAGACAATAACAATCAAAACAAAACCACTGAGTCCACAGACTCGGGACATACATCGGCTCAAACTGTGGTCATAAATATTTTGTACTTGTAAATCAGACTGTGTAGTTGTGAACTGAGTTTGTAACATTGTAAAACAAAATATCTGAAAAGTTTATGTTTTTGCGTTCATTGATTTGTGTGTGTAAAAATGTAAATGTAATAATGTAAGAAACATTAGAACTACTTTTGCTGACACAAAGTTGGCGAGCACTGCAGTTGTCCCTTTAAACCAGTCACTGATATAAAGAGAGCACCTTGTTCCAGGGCATCTGAGCATGCAGGAAAGCTTTATGCAGGAGATGGTAAGAGCTGTTGGGACTAAAGAAACTGAGCAGAAAACTACAGACATCTGGAAACTGAGTTGTTAATTCTCAGTGGGATCAGCAGGACTAGCAAAGCTCCACCATGACAGTCATCTGATTGACTGAACCCATCCAAACATCACTTCATGGACTTTAGCTTTTGTCTGTGTGTGGACAGACATAACATGAGCTAATTATACATTACTCTCCACAGAGTGGACCAGCAGAGAGCAGAGGTTTCCACTGGTCAGTCTGCACAGCAGCATCAAAACACCTGGACTCTGTGGTTATGGTTTGTAGTACTACGTTTACATTTGTTCTTTTCAGTCACTCTATGCTGCACTTTGTGGACAGAGGATTGTCAGTGTGTCCAACATAAGTAGATTTGGGCTCCATGATTTCAGTCAGATTGGGGACTGTAGCTCAGGAGGGAGCAGGTCAGCTACTAGTCAAAGGTTTGTGAATCAACCCTGGCTGGCAAATGTACTGGGTAACGTACTAACCCAAGCTGCCCTCTGATGCATCCATCAGAGTGTGAAAGAAAGTATTTAGCATAGAACAATGTGCTTGGTTGAATGAGGCATGTTGTATAAATGCTTTGTGTGCACAGAGTATCAAAGAGAGCTATATAAGAACCAGTCCATTTACCACTGGGTAATTCATATAGTTTTCTTTTCCAGCGGCTGGAGGACAACATCACATGTTTTGAAGAACGAGCTGAAGAAGATCAGAAGCTTCTGAGTCCAGATCACCCAGAACTTAAAGAGCCAGATGGAGGATGAGGAGATGTTTGAAGGAGAGGATGAAGATGAAAGAAAGAGCTGCAGAGAAGCATTTCTGAAGATCACACTCCACTTCTTGAGGAGACTTAAGCAGCATGAGATGGCTGACCATCTGCAGAGCAGTAAGATAATTTCTCTAAAGACTGAATATTGATCTTTCCTAATAGCTCAAGAAATGGACAAATATGACATTCATCCTTTCAGGGTACTGAAGGCTATGATATTTATTATATAATAGTTTTTTCTGAATTCTTATTTCAGAAATATTTGCTTCACTCCGTAAACGTGAACTTAAAGCCCAACTGAAAAGAAGTTCCAGTGTGTGTTTGAGGGATCGTAAGCAGGAGCCCAACCTCCTGAATCAGATCTACACAGAGCTCTACATCACAGAGGAGGGACTGCAGAGGTCAATGATGAACATGAGTCAGACAGATTGAAACAGCATCAGGAAACCAGACAGACCAGAAACACAATCAGACAGAAGACATCTTTAAAGCCTCACCTGGAAGAGACGAACCAATCAGAACAGTGCTGACAAAGGGAGTGGCTGGCATTGGGAAAACAGTCTTAACACAGAAATACAGCCTGGACTGGGCTGAAGACAAAGCAACCAGGACATCCAGTTCATATTTCATTCATTCAGAGAGCTGAATGTGCTGAAAGAGGAAAAGTTCAGCTTGGTGGAACTTGTTCATTCACTTCTTAATCAACTAACGAATCAGGAATTGCAGGCTTGAGACTTCCAGGTTGTGTTCATACTTGATGGTCTGGATGAGTGTCGACTTAATTTGGACTTCAACAAACTAAATCCTGACTGAAACAAGAAGTCCACCTCATTGGATGAGCTGCTGACAAACCTCATCAGAGGGAACCTGCTCCTTCTGCTCGCCTTTGGATAACAACACGACCTGCAGCAGCCAATCAGATCCCTCCTCAGTGTGTCGACATGGTGACAGAGGTCAGAGGGTTCACTGACCACAGAAGGAGGAGTACTTCAGGAAGAGATTCAGAGAGAGGAGCAGGCAGCAGGATCATCTCCCACATCAAGAAAGCTCGAAGCCTCCACATCATGTGTCACATCCAGTCTTCTGCTGGATCACTGCTACAGTTCTGGAGGATGTGCTGGAAACCAGAGAGGGAGGAGAGCTGCCAACACCCTGACTGAGATGTACATCCACTTCCTGGTGTTCAGGCCAAAGTGAAGAGGATCAAATATGATGAGGAGCTGAGACAGATCCACACTGGAGTCCAGAGAGCAGGAAGATGATTGAGTCTGGGAAACTGGCTTTGATCAGCTGCAGAAAGGAACCTGATCTTCTATGAACCAGACCTGACAGAGTGTGGCATCGATATCAGAGCAGCCTCAGTGTACTCAGGAGTGTTCACACAGATCTTTAAAGAGGAGAAACAACTGTACCAGGACAAGGTGTTTGCTTTGTTCATCTCAGTGTCAGGCGTTTCTGGCTGCTCTATGTCCACCTGACCTTCATCAACTCTGGACTCAACTGCTGGAAGAACAAACAACGTCCATTGGTGTAAACATTTGATAACAAAAATCAATTCTCACCAGTGCTGTGAACAAGGCCTTACAGAGTCCCAATGGACACCTGGACTTGTTCCTTCGCTTCTCTGGGTCTTCATGCAGACCACACTCTACGAGGTCGCTGACAGACAGGAAGTAGCTCACAGACCAATCAGAAGCAGTTCAGTACATCAAGAGAAGCTCAGTGAGAATCTGTCTGCAGAGAAAGCATCAATCTGTTTCACTGTCTGAATGAACTGAATGATCGTTCTCTAGTGGAGGAGATCAACAGTCCTGAGTTCAGGACGTCTCTCACAGATAAACTGTCTCCTGCTCAGTGGTCAGCTCTGGTCTTCATCTTACTGTCATCAGAAAAGATCTGGAGTGTTTGACCTGAGAATATTGCTTCAGAGAGGCTCTTCTGAGGCTGCTGCCAGTGGTCAAAGCCTCTAAAAAGCTCTGTAAGTTATAAAGTTTTTATTATTTAATTTGGTTGGTATGTTATGGAAAACACACTGCCATGAACTCTGTTTTGTTATTGTCAAAATCACTGTAATATATCACTGTACTTTATATACACGTGACTTGTATTAATGCTGCTGCCCTCTTGTGGCTAAGTGTAATTATGTTTGTTATTAGGAGGATTTGAGAGTAACATGCCAAGTGAGTCAGCAGCTTCGCTTTAGCTTAAAAACCAATTCTTATGTCATCAGTTATAGTTGCATGTATTCATTATCATAATTTAACCTTTAATATTGAATGTCTTAATTTATTTTGAGTAAAGTAGCAATAATTTTATGGTTTATTAAATAATACATAAATGAATTATTTATTTCAGTAATTAATTAAAAAAATAATTGATAATGAATTATCGGTTAATTTCATTTAAAATAATTCATTATTTATTTATGTACAATTCAAATTAGTTAATTACATATTTAATCAATTATGGTTTGTTTCTATTTAATTATTTTACTGACAATTTAATGAATATTTAATGATGTATTTATTTAATTCACGTTGCTACTCCTGGCCCTGCATCGCTGTTCATAAATACATTTTATTTGTCAGCTTCACCCATAAGTCAGGGGCGGGTTAATGCTGATCAAGTCAAACCATTGCTTTGGTCTGGTGGGCGTTCTTTTAGTGGGTTTTCTCAATACTAAGTAGGCCTACACACCAGGGTTTGGACATGTGTGGACCCAACTATACTTTACCCTTTTGTGTGTCACCAAATACACTTTAATATTTTCTAGACAAGAATGTAGTGGCATAATCTTTAACCTCGTTTGGCTCAAACAGAAGTGACAGACTTGAGCAGGTTCATTTAAAGGCTGACAGAAGTGGAGTGGTGACGGGGATGTTTGACAGGACAGTGTTTCAGCCTCCACAGGTTCATGTTGTGCTCCATCAGTCAGTGAAGATGAAGTCAGTGCTGATGAGGCTGTAGAGTGTGTGAGGGATGTGAATGAGGATGATGAAGATCTGATGATAGCAGATAAAAACAGGCTGCAGAGACTTTGAGCCATACAGGCACACAGTGTGTGTACAGAACAGCTGAAATCATTATGGAGGCCTCACTGGGATATGGAAGCATCACAGTACAGCTTCAGTGAAGCATTAAAGTCTCTGATATGAGATGAGAAATGAAGCAGCCAGAGCTTTTCATGAGTGAAATCCACTGTGACTGTGAGCTGCTGCTACAGCCTCCAGATTAGCAAGCTCATCCTGCTCAATTTCTCACCAAACTTTAATGGAAGTGTGATGTTTCAGCTGGAGTGATGGTCAGGGTGGCCTCCCTCTCCTCTTCTTTCCTCTTCCTCTTTATTTGTAAAGCACTTCTGCTGCTTCATTCATTTGAAGTCCTGTAGCTGAGTTTGGGAGAGACTAACAGCCTCGGCAGCAGAGGGGAGAAAGGCTGTAACACCACCACTTTACTCTGTTCTACCTGTCACATCATTTATCAGGAAACAAATATGCTCATGTTTTATATGATTTGTCTTGAAGATGTAAGAAGATACATGGTGCTTTTTATTATTGTGTTGGTTGTTTCTGTCTCTTGGATGGAGCCAGCTGTGCGTGGCCCCTGGGCTGTGGTCAGAGTGTGTGCTGGATAATCCGGCCAGGATGAGGCCAAACTGACATGGGATGAATGTCTGTCACATAATTGAGCTTAGTGTAGTTTCTTCTGCACAATTTAAAACAACCAAAACTTTGTTCTGTTTTTTCTGTATTACTGTAGACTTTCTTTGAACTGTTCAAAAGGAGCAGCTTTTACTTTGAAGGGGAGCGCGTCTCTGTTTCTCTTCAGGTTGGATGATGGAAGCAAATGAGTGTGTGATGTTCTTTCAGTGTTGCACTTTGTAGACGCTCCTGAGCACTGGTCTCACAGCAGTGCATAGAGACAGTGTTGTTAGTCCAGGTCAGAAGATGACTTGTTGGAATGAAAATGAGCTTGGTAGTTTGTCTGCTTTAATAATGTGACTGGAAAAAGGTTGGACTTCAAATATCTTGTCTTTCAACTTCACCTTTAAAAGTGAAGCCTTGTGGTTCTGGAAGGAAAACAGAATTTTTCAAGTCTTTGTCTGTTTTTATGAGAAATGCGACTTTAATGTGAAACATTCAGAGTTTTTTCTTTGTTTGTTTTTTGAATGCTTCCTGTTGCTCAGCTGTTTGGAGTTTCCATTTTCTAAACTTCTACTTCGAACTTCTTCAGCTCTAACAGATGATGAAACACTGAAGATTTCAAGCCACTTTGTCTAATAAACTTACATCTTCATCTTATACAGATTGGGAGCTGTGGTTTTCAGAGATCAGCTGTGATTATCTGGCAGCAGCACTGAAGTCAACCTCCATCTGAGACAGCTGGACCTGAGTGACACTACAAGTGCAGGATTCAGGAGTGAAGCATCTGTGTGGTTTCCTGGAGAGTCCAGGATGTGGACTTGAAACTCTGGGTCAGTCAGCATGTTTAGTTGTGCTGAGATGAATATGATGTGAAAGTTGTGCTGACACTAAACTGCAGAATCAGGCTGATATATCTGATCCACTGAGGATCTTCATGTAAGTCTGTTTTTCTCTCTGGTTTAGTCATTGACTGCAGCGAACATGTTCACATTTCAACGTGATACCAACGTTGGCCGCGGCCCACACGCGGCCTGCACCTTTCCTGATTCAGAGAGAGGGACCTGATTAACGTGTAGTGTTCCCAGTTCTAAGTATCAGACACAACAATGAATAATCACAGCTGACTGTCTTAGCAGGTCAAAGGTCCGGCACAGCAGCACAGTGGGAAATATTATAATCTGAATCATTTATCAGCACATTCCATATGATAAAAACAAGCTGACACTGTGAGACTTGATCAGAGGTGTGATCATCACAGCAGAGGCTTTGGTCAAAGTCATGAGGATCAAACAGAACACATGAAGCAGATTTCCTGTTCTGGTTTATA